GATCCGCACATCCATTTCGGCAAGAAAAGTGTAAGGGAAGAGCGAAAATGAAGGGAGAGAGTAGGAAGGGAGGGCGGGAGGGAGGGCGGGACGGAGGGAGGGAGGGAAGAAGGGAGGAAGGGTGGGAGTGAGGATACCATGTCGTCGACAAAGTCGGTGATCAGCCTCTCGTTGCGCTGTGCCCAGTGCCTCTTCAAGAAATACCCTCCCACTGCGGCCACTCCGCCCACGCCAATAGCCACGGAGGAAAGAGGGACCCGCTGCTTCTCAATCACGTCCCACTGAGGCGAAGGGCCGGGGGGAGAAAAGGAGGGCGGGAAGGAGGGAGGAAGGGAGGAAGGAAGGGAGGGAGGGAGGGAGCTTGAGACCTTTCCTACATACTCCAGGGCACCAAGGATATACGGTTCCTGGGTCGACGTTCTTGAGCAGCACGTACCGAGTTATCTCGCTGCAATGTGGACCGCTGCGTCGCCCGCCTCTCCCCTGGTCGTGCCCCCGCGGCGTCCTGCTTGATGGGCTTGGAGGACGCTCGGGTGCTGGAGGCTTTAACCTTCTTACGCACCAGTTTCCGTTTCCGCCCACTCCCTTTCTCCGTGGCCGTGCGGGTTCTGGGCGTGCCCAACAATCTGTTGAAGAGGCTGGGCTTGGGAGGAGGTTCGGAAGAGGGCGTGGCTTTGTTGTTGAAGAGCCCGTACAGGCGGCTCTCTCTTCTTGACGGCCCCGAGGCTGCTGGAGACAGGTGGAGAGGGTGTGGAGAAGGGCAAAAATGTGGTATGGGGGAGGAAGGGAGGAAGGTCGGGGTAGAAGGCGGTCTGAGAGGCGTGAAGGAGGAGATGAGCGGGAGGGAGGCGGCTATCAACAGCACATGGCGGAGGAAGGTCCCAAAAGGATGTCTACAGTGGTGCATGGTGAAGGAGGACGTCATGGTTGCCATGAATGTCGTCAATCACCCCGTATCCAAGCAGGGGGGTCCAAAAATCCGTGTAGTGCCCCTCCTGTGGATGGGGAAATAAGGTGTACGTTGACATGCGCGATGGGGAGGAAGGCGGTGAGAGATCTGCGGCTGGCAAGCCTGTGGAGATATCACGGCCGGAGGAAAAGGCCACGCATGATTCCCAACGCCCGAGCCCGGTCACCGACACGTCGCAGACCATCCTTTAAACCAATCACGGCGCCTCCTTCTCCAAGTTGCAGCCCCGGCCGCAGGAAAGATAGCTTGTGGTGAGGGGACGGGTCCGTGGGCCGGGCAGGGGCAGGGTCCTAAATCGTCATCCTCCCAATGGGTCAGTGGGCCGGAGGCAGGGTCCTCGGAGGCACTCTCTGGACTTCCGGACTTAATTGGACTTTTTGGACTTTTGGGCAAGTCCGACCTTTCGCTGACAGCGAAAATGGCAACCGGCACGTAGTTGCATGTATGAGCAACTTCAATGTTACGTGTCTGTCGGGCCATGGCCGGGGTGGTACTGTGAGTTTGGTCGTGCCAAGCCTGCCCTGCCGCCTGCCTGATGTTGCAGGGTTGTCGACCATCTCCCTTCAATATCCTTGCCGACCTCTGCAATGAAACCCTATAACGCGACGGAGTTCTATTGCTAGTAGGAAAGCAAATGCCAGCTTTTCCGGCATGCGTCTAGCATGGTCTGCTTCATTTTGTCGAGGCTTCTATTATGACAACGCGCGTAAAGCTATAGAAAGCAATCCATTGTGTGGGTCATTTTCCCCCAAAATTCACGTTGTCCGCCTGAATATTAAATTTACCATCCGCCTGGACTCACAAAATAAGGCGTGTGTAAATATGCCCCGCCGTTACTCGAGCGAATATCAGGACGATATAACCCCCCTTCACTTTCTTCCGATGCCATTACCAGGTCACTCTATTACCAAATAGTGACGTAAGGCGTTTAAAACGTCTTTCGGCCCACCCAATTTCCTCTTTCCCCCGCCAGCAACCCCCACCGGGACTGTATTGCGTCCGACAATGGCCCCGGAAACGAGGACCGTACGGCATGGGCCAAGCAGTGAAAAAGTTGAAGGCCGACAAGCACTCGATTCGCACCAAAGCGCGTACTCCCTTCCCGTCGCTGCACGTGATGAGCGTGGACGACCACCATTATCGCCCGCCCTTCTCCCTTCGACTCCACACCCTGCGATTGTCTACCCTCCTTTCCTTGGCCTTTCCTCACCGCAAGGGCCGGACACAGGCCGTCCAGGCTCCCCTCTGCGTCCCCCCTCGCCTTCAAGGCTCCACCTTCCTGTCACCCGCCCTCCCTCCTCCTCCTCTTCCCCTCTCCCACCCCCCCTCTCCGCCTCCTTCCTACCAGCCCCGCCCGGACCCTGCTCGTCTGAGCACCATCCTCCCTATTCCTGCCCTTCGTCCTCCTTCCCTTCTTCCTCCCCTTCCTACTGCCCTTGCCGCTCAGCGGGTCTCGCCGCACGCGCCATGAAGACGGCAGGAGAAGAGCCAGACATGGATTGGACAGGATATTCTACCTCCTCCCCGTCCTCCCCCGCTACCTGCCTTTTGGTCTCTTCTGAGATCAAGCACGATCGTCCTCGTCCATCCCCCTCCATTTTGCTCTGCTCTTATTCCTCTGCAGTGGCCCTGGCCCGTGCGCCGCAGCGACGGGAGGGAGGGGCCGAGGGAGGCAGGGAGGCAAGGAAGGAGGCAGGAAGGGCCTTGCCGTGTGTATTGCACGACCTCCGGATCCCAAGCAGTCCAATGAAAGAGGCAGCCAAGTATGAGGGCGGGAGGGAGGGCGGGAGGGAGGGTGGATTTCCCATTGTCATTTCACCAGAGCCGTCCCCGGTCGTGGATCCGGCACCGCCGGCAGGAACTACCAACGCTGCGCCTCCCCCCCCTCCTCCTCCTCCTCCTCCTCTTCCTCCCCTTTTCCCCCTCCTCAGCCCAGGCCCTGGAAGTGCGAATGCCACAGAAGCCAGTACCTCCGCCGTCACTACCCCGACAGGAGCAACCTCATATGTCACGCTCGCCGGCTACCTCGTTGATAGGATTCGAAAGCACGTTGAGTCCTTCCTCCTCCTGGTCGGGGAGGAGAGGTTCGGTCCTTTCGATCAAGTCATAGCAGGGAGCGGGAGGGAGGATGGGATGGAGTGGAAGGAGAAGGGAAGGAACGACTGGCGTCGAAGCGTGGGAGGGCGTTCGAAAGGCTCTGCCTCTAAGTGGGAAGGGGAGGAAGAAGGAGGTGGGAAAGGTGACGGAGGAGGAAGAGAGAAGGCGGTATATCCTGAGAAAATAAAGGAAGGATTGAAGACGCTTTCGCTTGGTTTAGAAGCCGTAGACATGCCTATAAAGAAAGTAAAGAGATAGAAAAAGCTTAGACCGTCATCAGTCTGATGGATACAGGATGAGTAAATAGAGAAACACGTAAAATGTCATGACTCGGGTAGATACAGGATAATTAAATAGAGAAAGCTTAGACCGTCATCAGTCTGATGGATACAGGATGAGTAAATAGAGAAACACGTAAAATGTCATGACTCGGGTAGATACAGGATAATTAAATAGAGAAACAATTTTGTCGTTCCGAGCCCAAGGAAGGAAGGAAGAGTGTAGCGAGGGTGAGGCAGAAAAGGAGTAAGCGAATTTTAGAGAACGAAGGAAAGAAGGGAGGGAGAGAGGGAGGCATGGGTGTAAGATCTGCACATACGTGTTAATAGCTCCAAGACACTCATCAAAAGGGTGGACTAGAGGAGAGGAATGACGGTAGAGAGGGAGGGAGGGAAAGAGGGAGGGAGGGAGGGAGGGAGGCAAGGGCATGGACGCGGTGTTGTCAGGAGTGACTGAGCGAGGCCCCCGAGTGACCAAAGATGTGGGAAGAGAAGAATCTAAGGAGGGCGAAGGTAGGATCCGAGGCAGTGTCTCCAGTACGTGATACATGGCGGCTATAAAAATAAAATACCTGGCTCGTAGGGGTGCAGAGAAGAAGAAAATTCGGGGAACGAATCCTGCGGATGCGTTTTTGGGCACGTTTGTTGTGGGAACTTTCGAAGCAAAGCATTTCTAGGAGGGAGAAGAAGAAAGCAGATGGACGATATTCTCTTCCACCCTCTTCTCTCCTTACCCCGTCCTGCTTTCTCTGCCCACTCCCTGGTAACCGCACCCTCTCCCAAAGCTCAAACCTGCCCTTTCTCCGCCTTTCTTTTCCATTCTCTACGTATTTTCTTCCATTTTGCAGGTGCCCCGGGGAAGAAAAGGAGAAGAAGGAGGCAACGAGAGGTCATCCTCAGGCCATCTTGGTCGCACGTCTTTCTCCTCTCCCATCCACCCTCCCTCTAACACCACGGACAGGGGCAGTAAAGAGATGACAAGACCTTATTCCGCTTCCTCCCTCCCTCCAGCCCTCTCGAACCTTCTAGTTCGTGTCAAGCGCAGGCGCATCAGGCGCCGCTGTCGCCGTCTCTCCCTTCTTTCCTCCATCCTCAGAGGTAGCAACACAAACAGTTGTAGCAGCGTCATCCTCACCAGCTACTGGATCAACCACATTCTTGCTCTCAGCGGCCCCAGAAGACGCGTAAGCTCCGCTATCATACATTCCAGGCACCCACATAGAGACCTGGAAGAAGGGGTACGGGACGATGGAGGGAAGGAGGGACAGTGGAAGCAAGAAATATTGAAGCGATGAGTTGGACTCTAGTCGGACAGTCCAATATAACTCGTGGGACCACAGTCCTGCTTCTTCGACCTTTCTTCCCTTGCTCTCAATCCGTTCCCTTCCCTCTCTCCCACCTTGCTGGCGATCGCATCGACTATGCCGGAGCGGTGGGAGTCAAGCCCGTATTCCTGAATGTGCTCGTAGAAGCGCTGGGCGTGATCCTGGAGGGAAATAAAGGATTCGACGAGTAGGATTCACTATATACGAGTGTAAGAGAAATCCTAGAGAGTAACGGGGATTATAAAGTCATGCCGCAATTAAGCTATTCGTGGGACAGGTAGAATTTCCACATAAATAGTCCTATACGAGCAAAGAAAATGTGGAGGGCTGGCATGGCGTGCATGGTGAGATTGAATTTACAATAGTGGTGGGGGGTTCGGACCGGAGCCTGCTTCATGGCTTTTTCACTTCACCTTAGGGTCGACATTCTTGCCTTTCATCTTCATGTACTGTGGAAAAAGGAAAGGAGGAGGCAAAAGAAGCGGGAGGGGAAGCGAGCTTGGATGGGCCCATGTGAAAAAAGACAAGGCGAAAACGACATGAAACAGAGGGAAGAAAGAAAGCAGAACAAGCGGCCTTCATACCTCGCCAATGAGCTGATGGGTCGTGTGGATGTGCTTGTCTTGAAGATGCTGAGCGTTTTTGGGTCCTTGAAAGCGGATCATTAAAGAAGGACGAAGGATGGAAGGCCATGTAAAAGGGCAGTAGGAGAAAGATAGAGAAGATCGAAAAGTTGAAAGAAGTAGACCCCTTCGTTCGGATGAAAGTACATACCAATGCCTGGAATCTCTTGCAGGTCTCCCGTGATAGGAGAACGAAGCCTGGTATCCAGAATGAAGGAGGAAAGTATCGCGGCAAAATTAAAAAGGGAGAGAAGGTGAAGCGAGATTTATGACTTAGGAAAGAAGGGAAGAGAATGCCAATCTTCAGTGAAGGATATGTGAAATATTTTATGGAGATATGGACAGTAATTGTTGAACATGAAAGAAGGAGTGGACATCACGCTGTCGAAGTAAGAGGGCGCTGTGTGCCCGGACAAAGGGGAAAATAATGAAAAGGCAAGCAAACCTTCACACACTTAAATACGCACCAATTGAGCTGGGCTTCCATAGAAACCTGAGACTTTGTCGGATCGAAGGTGCCATGCTTCTGTTATGAGGGAAGTTGAGAGAAAGGAAGGTAAAAGAGCATGGAGATGGAAGGACTAAGGAGGGCGACTGGAGAGGAAGGAAAGCACGGTGAGCGATCTTTTTTACGGTACTTACCGTCATGATGATAAGAAAGAAAGGCGTTGGAAATTCAGTAGACTAGAAGATCTGAAAAAAGGAACAATAAGAGGAAATTGCATGTACATGGAGAAGTAAGGTGCAGAAAGGAGGAAGGCCGCCTTCAAGGAGCAAGAAGCGGATCAGCACGCTTTACCTTCACGTAAGCTGGATAAGAAGATCAATTGGCCACATGCAAGAGAAAAATCATTGAATGTAAAATTTTGGTAGATTTCTGACTCAAGCTAGGACCAATATGAAATACAAAGCGGGAAAATGGAGTCGAGGGAGCGTAGCTTTGTAACGCGCTCTGACACCGTGAATAACCGTACGTTCCAACAAAAGAAGCCACATCACAAGGCCAGAATTGAAGCTGCTTCCTCCCCCCCTTCTCCCCACCCGATGCCTTTCAATGTAACGGAGTCGATGAACGCACAGTTTGTCAGGGGGGGAGAGCCAGGGCTGTGCGATGGCTTGGGAGGTTCGGGCATGCGGGTGAGGAGGAGGGAGGGCCCCGAACCTCCTCCTGAAGCTGTTGCAGATTATGCCTATGCCCCTTCAAGGGACATACACAAGGCAGGGGTGCCCAGGGAAGTATGTCCGAGTGTCTGTATGCCTATTTGGGGATTTTTTTCGCAAGTGTCGTGGGAAATTCGATTTGGATGTGGACTTGGTACTCGAACATGTTCAATTAAGCACCCGTCGATCATTCTTTGACTCCCTCCCCCCCCCGCCCCTAAACCCCCGGCTCAACAATATGAAAGTACTACCCTTTCGACACTTGAGCATCATCATGTCCACTGTCAGTGCACTTTCAAGTTCCTCATCTGCGGCACCTCCCTCGTCCAACGCCGTTGTTCCTGCCACTTATTCCAACCTCAATCACAACGCCTTGCAGAAACCTTTGCTCGATGCTACATGTCCCGAGCCCGTTGGGGCCTCTATTCTTTACGAAGATGACTTCGTAAAACTAACAGAGTCTTCACTTTGCATCAAATGGTATTATTTTCCCATCGGAGCCTCGAAGGTTATCCCGTTGAAGAGCATTCAAAAGGTGAGCGACGGTGCCGGGGAAGTGTATACATGGGAACGAGAGGAATATTGACACAAACGCCCCAAAAAGTGGGTGAAAAGACGATTATGATATGAGTATATTTTTTCTGACCTTCAGTTCCTTTCTTCAGTTAAATGTCACGAAGTCAGTATACGGACCAAGACGAGTGTACGCGAAACCCTTAGTGCTCTCTCCCTGTCCAGATATCTTTAAGACCTTTAGGAAGCATGTGGCAAGGCCAGTACAAACACTGGGGAATGGCCATCGATTTCAAACGCTGGTGGCCGAGCGACATGTTGCGCCATCAACGTGTAGGGCGGTTAAGGGGAAATGTTTCGGAGGGATCGGTGCCGCATGGGTTTTTGGCTCGCTGAATGATTTCCAGCCAACAATCAAAAGCACCCATGCCTTTCATGCGGGACTCTTGGCTTGTCCTTCATCTATCCTTTATCTATCCTTTATCTTGGGAAGTGTCCCTCCTTCATCACGTCGTCCGGCTTGATTTCCCACCTCTCTCCCCCTAACGCTTTCCCTCGTGCCGGACCCGTTACCGCCTCCGTTCATTTCCTCGCTTCCCTGCCTCCCTCTCTATCCTCCCTCAGGCGCATTTTATTGAGGTCGATTGCGGAACATGGCCCCTCGTCGCTTTTACGCTCAAAGAATCAGAGGATTTTTACCGTTCTCTCTCCCAGGTTCGATCAGGGGGCGCAGACGAAAGGGGGTAAGAGCAAGGTTGCCTCAAGTAGTTGGGCTATCATTGCAGTGAGAAAAGGGGAGAAAAGGTGGAGAAATGAATAGAGAAAGGAGAGAAATGCGGCATGAGTCTCTGCTAGACGGGGTTAGTGTTGACTGTATTGAAGTTTCATCGCAGCATTTAAATCTGGCTTCTTCCTCACGCATACATAGGCCGTAGCAGCAGTCAGGACGGGAAAAGGAAGAATCTAGCAGGCAGACGCGCAGAGTGGTAGTGCTCTGCCGGGAGTTCCCACTTTGAAGACCCATTTTGGGCTGTATTTTGAAATGTACCATGTCTTCTGTAAGAAGCAAGCCAGGGGGCACAGGAAATAGGATTTTTAGCCCCTTCCACGACTTTCCATCCTTGTAAATTTGGCATCGGGAAAGTGCCGACTTATATCTGAAGAATCATAGAACGGGATGAAAAATGGACAAGAGCAGGTTGAACACAACCTCCCGCCACCGGGTCTGAAAATGTTTTAAAACCCGATCTTACGTATTACATCGCAGAGGCCCTACACAGCACTGTGGGTGGAACGAACATGCTGTGAAAATGGGCTGTCTTACACAACGAAAAAAAAATTAAACACGCCAGCATGCACCATGCAAAGGCCATGAAAACTTGCTAGATCTGCGTGTGCGCTCTTCACGTTCTTATCGCTCGCGGACGCCTCAAGAAGAAAGTCGAGACTTGTCCGTGATGTTCCACGATCGACCTGCGTCCGTGCATGCAATTGCGAACCACACAAAGGCTTCAATTGCAAAGAAATCGTACCGTGCGTCGTTTTTGACTATCCACGCCAAGAGATCGCCGCTTTTCTCCGCAGACACGTACTTTCCCTCTTTTCTGTTTTCACCACACGCTCATTTCACTTTCACTGCGTGAAGATTCATTTCGAGACATCAGTTCTAACTCTTGCAAAACTAGCGTATGTTGAGTATCAGACATCGACGTAATCATTCGACAAATACATAATCCAAGAACTTAATCTCGCCCTCGGCTTTTGACCTTTTCCCGTCGCGTTCGTGTGAACTATATGCCGCTAGTTCAACCTGCTAGGAGACCAGCAAGTCGCAGTATCCAATGACGACGCGACGGCGACGTTTGAAGGCTGGAAAAATAAAAACACATGGGACGTCCGATACTCCATCTTGTATGCCTAATCTTTTTTTTGTGGAACAGGATTGCCTTCGAACGAGTGTACATGGCACATTTTTTCCTTCGCGCAGCAAGTGTTGGCCGTCGGACTGCTTTTGTGGCAGCTTCAGGTAGGGAGAGAGCAACAGCAAGAAGGAGCGAGGGTCCTCCAGACTCGCGGATGCATGACTATGCCCCGTTCTCACGAGTGATTTCTGACGGCATTGGCCGCCTTAGCAGGCAGTGCCGTGCTATTGAGCGGTGCAGGCATGGCCTATGCGACGTCCTGCAAGGAGGAGCCGGTAGGGTCGGAGGAGAGGGAGAGAGGGAGTGCGGGAGAGAGGTCAAAGAGTAGTCGGGGTGGTATCTAGTGGGAAGGTTCCAACTCGAGATGGACTCGTACAGAAGTCATGAAAAGAGGAATGCGGTCAGCAGATTCTCGAGTTCCCAGAAGGTGACATTTTAGTGATGAAGCCGGGAGGACGGGGAAGCATGTGGTACGCGGGATGAGGGACTTTCGCGGCCCTGACACGACAACGCCCGCCTTTCCTGCGCGCGGAGCCAGGCACACTTTATGTTGACAAGCACGACCGATCCACGTTTCCTTGTCCCTCGCCGCTCGCGCCCGCATGCCCTGTACTCGACCGCCTCAATGCACACAGAGTGTCGTCCTGCCAGCATCCTGCACCCTCCCTTGGCATTCCTCCTCATTCCTCCTCATTCCCTCCCTCCATCCACATCACCTGAAATACAGGACAAACACAAAATTCTCATTGTTGGAGGCGGCTCTGGGGGCCTGGCCGTAGCGGCGCAGCTCCAAATCAAAGGTATCCTCCCTCCCTCCTTCCCCCCCTCCCCTCCCTCCCTCCCTGCCTCCTTCCCTCCCTTCTTCCTTCCCTCCCTTCTTCCCTCCCTCCCTTCAACTGACT